ACATAGAGATTAACAGCATCTACATATTATTCAAAAGAGACAAAAGATCAGAAGATTACCTCACCAGCATTTAATCACCAGCAATCATCTCCAGCAATCACCACTCAGATAAGCAAAGGTCACCACCAGGCACACAATCAAGCAGTCAACATATGCTAATCAATGAACTACCAGGAAAGCAAAACAAAACCCCCACCCCACCAGCACCAACAAGGCAGGCCACAGCAGATAAATAGAGAGCTAACCTCATCCCATGTTAGCACTGAAGATGTTACCTAGCCGGGTAATGAAACATTTGCAAGAAAAGAACCAAGCTCAGAGAACTCCAAGGACTCCACGGTTTCCAGGTGTTCATGGAGATGAGCATTCTGGGACTCTATATTAAGAAGCTAATTTTGGTTTGTAATCCAGTTATATTCCACAAGTAAGAGAATATTTTACCTTGGGATCTTATCTGCTTGTATTTTTCATCAGAACTGCCATAATGTGCCTAGAATTTGAGAAAATGTTGTTTAGGGATATCTTCATTAAGTTTCCAATTAGCATTCATTTTCCCATTTCCCCTTTTCATTTCATTTTATTTTGGGGTTTTTTTTTTTTCTTTTTCAGTTGACCTATGGCTCTTTTCCCCAAGAAGAGTTTCAGACTACTAAGTTATCTGCATTTTACTGTATGGTCCCAATTGAGGACCATCAGTACATTGGAGTTATACAACTTCTTCTCCGTTTTGGATGGACATGGATTGGAGTCTTTGCTTTTGATAGTAATAAGGGAGAACGCTTCTTGCAGAAACTACCACCATTGCTGTCCCAGAATGGCATCTGTTTAGCTTTCACACAAAAATTTCCACAACATGTTGATTTAGAAAACTTGTCAGAATTGAGTGATACACTCTCACTTATACCCAAAAAATTGTTAGACCCTAAAGCAAATGCTTTTCTTGTCTATGGAGAATCATTCACAATTGTGTGGCTCAGAATGGTCGTATTTCTACGTGACCCTGAAAATAAAGAGAGTGCATCATTTAGAAAGGTTTGGATCTTGATGAACCCAATTGATTTCATACTGACTGGAATGCAAAAGGGTTGGGATCTCCAGATGTTCCATGGGGCTCTTTCCTTTACAGTTCATTCAAGAGAAGTTCAAGGGTTCAAAGAATTTCTTCAAGTCATCAAACCTTCAAC